TTTGTAAAGTACTTTAAAAAACGTACGATCTGCCCATCTTGGACAGGCAGATCGTACTTGCGATCATCGCAAGCCCGCCCCCTTGAGGGGCGGGCTTGCGATGACTGCAATGAGGGGCGGGCTTGCAAGGAGGGCAAACGGGCAGTGTGCGCGTGCGCACACCGGCCCGTTCGTCAGTTGTCGAACAAGCAGGCCACTATCTCGCCGAGAATCGTACGATTCCCGGCGGGTTTTCCAGCCTGCTTGTTTCGATGGAAGACGTGCGACCGTACAGTAGAAACGGTCGCACGCCTTCCATACACTGTACGATTCTCGTACGATCGCGGGATTTCCCGCGATTCTCGTACGAGAATCGTACAGTGTATGGGCACCTTTAGACTGCCAGGTAGGCTTGCAGGAAGATGGGATAATCCATGAGACAGAACTTTGAGCAGCCAAATCGAACAAGAAATGGAGCCTACTCACTGGTTTTGATAAAACATTGCGTAGCTTGAGAATTTCTGATGTAATTTGCCTTCAGCATTGTTATACATTCACATTCATACACTGTATTACATTTTCTTGTAATGATATGTACGCAGTTGTTTTTTTGGGATAATTGTGAGATACATTTGCTCTCTTGTAAGCAGTTGCCTCTTAATAAAGTGTTGTGGAATAAAAAATAATTACATAATAGTTACACCGGACTCCCAATAGAACACAGATGTGAGATAACAGTCATTGTCCTGTTTCTTTTTTGGCAAAAACAGAAATGTTGAGTTAAGACTAATGTAATACTCGTGTAAGATTTATCTTTTGTCATACAAATTATCCTATTTGTTTTAGAAATTGTTTCTTGAAAGCCTCAGGAAAGCTCTAACTGGCCATGGAGTAGGGAAACCACTTATGGAGAGTGCTGCAATTGCTTGTGTGAAGTTGTGTAAAGCGTCCACATATGTCAATTGGGAGGATAATTCTGTCATATTCCATCTGGTCCAATCATTAGTCATTGACCTAAAGGTGAGTATAGCCATATATCTTTAGCCTCTGCCTTTTTGTTTAACATTCTTCAAAATATTTCAGTGAATTTGCTTTATTGCTCCGAGATAAATGAGATCAGTCCAGTGCTATCCTCTTCTTGAATCCTCATTTCATTGTGGTGGAAAATGTAGGTGGCCAGCCCTGACTGAGCTTATACAGTGAGGAAAATAATGATTTGATCCCCTTCAGATTTTGTAAGTTTGCCCACTTACAAAGAAATGATAGAGACAGAATAGAGACAGAATATCAACCAAAAACCCAGAAAAAAACAATACAAATGTTATAAAATAAGTATTTGATCCCTGAGAAAAACATGACTTAGTACTTGGTGGAGAAACCCTTGTTGGCAAGCACAGAGGTAAGACATTTCTTGTAGTTGGTTACCAGGTTTGCACACATCTCAGGAGGGATTTTGGTCCACTGCTTTACAGATCTTCCCTAACTCCTTAAGGTTTCTTGGCTGTTGCTTGGCAACTCGAATAATTGCTCCAACAGTTGTTTCCTTCTCACCTAACTTCTTGCTGATTGTAGCCCATTCCAGCCTTGTGCAGGTCTACAATCCTTGCCCCTAATGTCCTTTGACAGCTCTTTGGTCTTGCCCATGGTGGTGAGGTTTGAATGGAAGAAATAGATTCTGTGGACAGGTGTCTTTTTTTTCTATACATAACGAGTTGTCGTTAGGAGCACCTTCTTAAATTGACAGGACTAATCTGTGTACCACATAGCCAGTCTGTGGGAGCCAGAATTATTGTTTGGTTGGTAGGGGATCAGATACTTATTTTACTCACTGAACTGCAAATCAAGTTATAACATTTGTCTCGTGGTTGATATTCTGTCTCTATCATTTAAAATACACCTATGATAAAAATTATAGACCTTTCATTTCTTTGTAAGTGGGCAAACTTACAAAATCTGCAGGGGGTCAAATCATTATTTTCCTCACTGTATCAGGGAACAGTGGTAATGGTCTCAGAGGGAGGATGGGGTACAAACTGTACCTGACAAATACTGTATCTATGTGGATGGATCCTACTTTTTTAATCATGCATTAAGGGACGCACGATGAAGTGATTCTGTTAATTGCTTTATGATGCTCCCTTCACGTGACTGGGCACTGGCAAACAAAGCTGTAAGTACAACCTCTCCCACTGCCATCATGCTCCAGTTTTTTTGCTAGTGTCCTAGAGGGACATCTTCTTCTTTTTTTTTTTGCTTCAGAACCAGAAGGGCTTACTTTGCAGCTTCCAGGTGAGCTATTCCATGGCATCGCCGTCTGAGGCCACACTCTGGGCCAGCCTGTATTATGCCCTGCAGGCAATGGGCTCTGCTTAAGGTGCTCTCCTCGACACTTGTCTCCAAAACCAGAAGGGTTTACTTTGCAGCTTCCAGATCACTTCATACTTGGAATTGCCACCTGAAGCCATACCCGGAGCCAGCCTGCATTGTATCCTGCAGGCACTGGGCTCTCCTTAAGGTGCTCTCCTAGACACTCATATGTAACGTGCAAGTTAGCTGCACACCTGTCTAGTGGAACCCTGTCCTCCTTGAGAGAGTATGCCTACCAGGTTGTGGTGTTGGGGGAGGGGGGATGTGAAGATGCTTTGGATGGGGCGCATCCCCTGGTTCCTGTCTTCAGCATGTCTGCTTGAGAACTGCCTTGCCTCTCAAGACCACTGCAGTGGTTCCTTTACGCAGGCTTATTCCACCTTTAACACTATGTTCCATGTTACACCTATATGTTGGTTGTAACATAGTACATGGTGTTATTTCTGCAAACCCCCCACCCCTTCCTTCAGCTCGTTAACCGAAGGTCTGCATTGTACGCACAACTCACTGAGCTGTGGTTGCAATGCTTTGCAGGCTTCAATGCAAATAATAAATGCACAATTTTTCTTTTTGCAATATGGGTGCATTTATTTTATTTTGTTTTTGCAAAAGACAAATATGCCTTCAAAAGCCCCCAGCCTATTAACATCTTTCCAGTGCGCTCACTAGTGCACTTGTTTTGTATGTTGATTTGCTTAAACCAGATAAGGTGTTTACTCCTCCTGAAGCGCTTTGCCCATTAATATCCTATTAAGGGAGGGGTTCATTAAAAAGTGGGCCGTCCCTGTAGTGGACCTGACAATTTCTTATCCTAAAGTGTATTTCCACTTTTTGCATCCTGCCGTTATAACCATGTTCCTCTGCCAGACGTTGGCCGCCGTTGCTCTAAAGATCCTGGATCTATCCCACTGGATCCTTGGAGCTTTATGCCTGTGGTTGATCGGCTAGCAGATATTATATGCCTAATATCCAGAATTGGTCTCCCTTTGATGTGGAGGGCCATTTTAATGTTGGTCTGCGTAACAGTGCAAGAAATGCCTGTTGTGCATACCCTTTGATGGTGAACACACCCTGCAAAATAGGCTATACAAATCCTGGACTCCCAAATACTCCAAATTTGTGAGGAAGTACGCACAATGAAAGGGACGCAGTCACTTGTCAGAGTTGGGGACCGTCTGTTGGCCTTTGCGGCCACCTGATCCTAGGACATTTCAGGCGCTTAGGTCCAGAAGGTTGTTTTCCAGGGGCTACAAGCTAAAATGCTTTGCTTTGCTTCTTTTCTGCCAAAGCAGGAAAGGGGCATTTGCCCCAGCTCTATTCTGGGCCTAAAGGTGCTCAACACTTTCCTTCAGATACAAAAATTCTGCATGGAACTTACCAAGTCAGTCATTGCTTCCCTCTGTCCAGGAGACTTTCTTGTCTCTGTAGACATCAGAAATGCCTACTTGCATGTCCCCATCTTTCTTTTACATCGATGCTTCCTGCCTTTTGCAGTGAGCACCCACCATTGCCAGTTTGTTCCCCTTCTTTTAGGTTTATCTACTGCACCTTGGGGTTTACCCAAGGTGCAAATTGCTAGCCCCTGTAATTGCTTTGCATCGCTTCCAGGGCATTCCCAATGGGCGATACCTGGATGACCTCCTTGTGAGTGAACAGATTTTGCCAATTTCTATCAAACCGTTTTGGATGTTTGAATGGATCCTGAGGCCTTCTCTTAAATATTTTTATGTCCAGGCAAAACTCAGGCATATCCCAGTCCTGTCTGCTGTGCACATTAGAGGCGTGGAAAATTGGGAGTGGACTTCCTCAGTCATTACTATCTGGACTCTGCGCCCTGAGGTGTTTCAAGACCTCTGTCACAGATGGGGGGTGGTTTTCGCTTCCAGGTTCAACAGCAAACTGAGCCAGTTGATTTCCAGATCTAGGGTCCCTATAGCGTTTGCATTGGACACTCTGGTGACTCGGTGGGAACAGTTCATCCTGATCTGAGCCTTTCCTCCTCTGAAACCCTTTCCTCACTTGTTCTGCACAGTCAAATTTGAAGGCATCCCGGTGATTCTCATTCCACTGAACTGGCCCAGGCAGACCTCATCAGACTCCTGGCAGGCTCTTTGTGGACCCACCCTGACTATCTAGATTTTCTGTCCCAAGGACCGGTTTACCACCTTGCTTGATCTCTGGCTTTACCGCCTGGCTGTTGAAGTCTAGAAGGATTGGTTCCTACTTGATTCAGTTATCCCTATGCCTTTAAAAGCTAGGAAATTGACTTTTGCAAAATCTGCTATAGCAACTGGAGAGCATATTTTTCATGGAGCAAGGCAAGTAAATTCCATCCCACAAAATCTGTATTTGTTACAGTCCAGTCTGGAGTCTATCTCTCAGCTACTGCTTCCATTAGAGATTTTGACTCTCTGCCTGTCATTACTGATGGTCTCTCCATAAGAGGCAACCTGCTTCTTGTTCCACCATCTCTGCAGGAGGATTTCGAAGCTCATCGTTTAAGCCTATAGACTTAAGGACAATATTCCACCTTTCCCTGTCAAAGTGCACTCCTCTAGATCAATTAGTGCTTCATGGGCATTTCAGCATCAAACATCTGTTTCTCAGATTTGCAAGGCTGTCACCCGGTCTTATGTTCACACTTTGTTTAAATTTTACCAGGTGCACATTCAGGCCTCATCTGATGTTGGCTTTGGTCGTAAGGTTCTTCAGGCGGCTCTGTGAGTTCTATTGAGCCCTTTTGTTAACTTGTTGGTTCTCTAGGGCCTGTTAGCCTTTTGTTTGCTGAGTTGCTCAACCCTCAGTTGGACTGCCTTCGGATGTCCCAATGTATCAAAAATACGGTACTTCATTTTTGGGTTACCATAAAATCCTTTTATTGGCATATATTAAGGGACATAGGTAGTTCCCACCACCTATTTTGTTGAGCCGCTCCTACTATATTGCCTTGCTACAAAACTGACACATGATGGAAGTAGGACTGGTTATATTAAGCTCTCTTACAGCTTTATTTGCTAATGTCCAGTCTCCTTAGGGTAGCAACATAACCGAATGTACCAAATGACTTCATCCTGTGTCCCTTAATGAACGCCAACAAACGGATTTTATGCTAAGTCAAAAATCCTATTTTCTTTTTTTTTTAAGCATGGGAAACATGTTTGAATATGTTGCTGAACACTTGATTTACGATGCATTTGGTGAAATATATGTAGATGAATATTTCTGATTTTAGGTTTTTTATTTTTCAAGTCTTTTTATAAATTCCATATTGTTGATTGTGTCTTATTTTTGTATAAAAGATGTATGAGCATCCTCCGTGTAAAATATCTAGGCCCATTGATGTATGCATCAGTAACAGATTTAAAGACGGTATTGGATATATTCTTATAGCACATCTTTGTGTATGTGTTTTTTTTTTTGTGTTGCTGACAGACTAATTGACCTAGACATTTTGTGTCAACAGAACTTGCTCTTCAATCCAAGCAAGCCTTTCTCCAGAGGAGCAGGAAATCAGAATGCAGATGTAGACCTAATGATTGACTGCCTAGTTTCGTGCTTTAGGATAAACCCTCAGAACAATCAGCATTTCAAAGTATGTTTACTTTTTTCTGTTTGTGAGTGTCAAAATCTTTGAGATATGTTACCAACTGATATAGTGCAAAAAAAAAAAAGTTCCTGTTAAAGTTAAGTCCTATTTTCTCTGTGTTTTTCTTCGTTGCTCAACAATTACATTTTCTGTAAAAACTCATCCCTCTACACAGAGTCCTACTCTACCGTATGCCCTCCAGCTTGTGTTCTACTAATGGGTCAGGGGCTGCTTGCAGTGTCTGCTGATGATGCAGACATCTTCAGACTGCAATCATGGTGTCCTGCAGTCAACCCTCTAGCTCCATTGGATGTGGCTGGGCCCTCTGCCCTTGACCATGGTCATGCAAGATTTCATGACCCTGTTTTTAATTTATGATTTGATATATACAGGGCTTGAACAATTTGATGGTGTCTCACCAGTCAGTCAAAAATGTCACCAGTCAGCATGACCGGATTAAAGCCTTGCAATTTATGTAAAAAATGTTTGGGGACAGATGGAGCTTTCTTTTGGAGGTATATAATCACCCCTGGGGGGGGGGTGTTATTTTTTTTTACTATATAATGAAAAAAGTACCGTAAATGTAAAAGAAAAAAAGTTTCCCTACATTATGTTATAAAACATCTATTCTTACCCATATTTTTAGTAAAACATAAAAGACGGTGTCACGTCGGGTAAATAGACACCATACATGTCAAGCCTTAAAATTGCGTGCGCCCGCAAAATCGCAAAAAATGCGAAGATTAAAGCGCTTTTACTGCTCATCAGTTTAGTGTTATCGGTGATTAATGGCTCTAAAATTATTGCTCTCACTGCGATGTTTGCGGCGATATGTAACATGTGCGGCACAATCGTCGTTTTCGCACGCAGGCGCACCCGACGCATATCTGCGTGTGTATGTGGGGAGCGGGGACTTTAAAAAAAATGTTCTTTTTAAAAAAAAAATGTATGCTTTATTTTTTTATGATTCTTCTTTAATTTTTGTATTTTTTTTTTTTTTTTTTTTTTTTTTTTACACACAACCTTATTGCTATTACATGGGGGGCTAAGAAACCCCCTATGTGAAAGCCAATTTACATGACAGGTTCTCTTTATGGAGACATCAGGGGTCTCCAAGACCCCTAATGTCACCTAGGGACCCCCAGAGAAGCTGATGAAGCAGAGATCTGCTTCATCAGCTTCTGTAGCTGGAGAGTGACACTGAATGCAGGAAGTAATGTAATATACATCACTTCCTGCATTCGGGGACTGAGAGGAGATCAAAAGGGAGTTCATATACTGAACTCCCATTGATCTCCTGTCACAGGGCCGTGCCGGTCCCGGCCGCATCGGGCACAGCGGATCTCGGGACTGGCAACGGCAGTGACCGCAGCTAATACAAGCGATCGAGACGCTCGATCGTTTGAATGTAAAGCTCCCGGCCGGCCGTGTAATTACAACGGCTGGCCCGGAAGCTGCTCGTCGGGCTCCACCATCCTCTCGTCGCGGACGAGCAGATTTTTCAGGCCAAGTATCAATACATGTCCTCACAGATACAATTACTGATATCTTTTTGTTTATTGTCATGCGACCGGTTTTCTAAAACAATACAGACTAATTTCAGGACAGTGGTGGAGCACCAGGGCACAGTTGCTGCTGCAAACGCTGCAACCCTGGCAGTTCTCATGAAAATGCCAAGTGTCGGCACTGCCATTTGAACTGGTATCTGTGCATCCCTAGATTATAATCATAGTGGCATGGGTGCTCTTACCTGTTGCCAACGTAGTTGTGTTGGCCAATTCTATTGTCGCATGCAGACACAGGAAAATCATATACATATGTGATATTTGAAATTATGAATGACTTTAGTTTTAATTTTAACATTTACGATGCTTTGCATTTTTTTTTTCTAATGATATTCTTTGTTCTGTCCCTTTTTTTTGTTTTAAAGATTTGTTTGGCACAGTCCTCACCATCAACATTTCATTATGTGCTGGTGAACTCTCTGCACAGAATTATCACAAATGTAAGTATGTACCGTTTCCCCGAAAATAAGACCTACCCCGAAAATAAGACCTAGTACTATTTTTTGGAATTGCTAAAATATAAAACCTACCCCAAAAATAAGACCTAGTTGTGACCATTCCCAGGGCCGGTGGTGGCATAAGGGGGAACTTGAAGAGCCGCAGGAGAGAATCAGTGGTGCCAACGCAGCCAGCGCTAGAGGAAGCGAGGCGGCACCGCAGGGAGCAGAGCCGCATAAGCAGATGCCTCCTCTATAGCACCGGCTCCTGTCACAGGCGGAGTGTTACCAAATGCACTCCGCCTGTGAGGAATCTATAGTCAAAGTGCGCTTCGCTCATTCTGGCCAGTGATTGGTTAGCAAATTGCTCTTGGAAAGATTCGGCACCCCTGATTGCCCTGATCACCATATTTTTGTACATGAATACATGTAGACTGTTGTACATGAAAAAGTGTGGATTGTTGTACATGAAAAAGTGTGGATTGTTGTACATTAAAACAAAAAAAAAGGACCTACCCAGAAAATAAGACCTAGTGTGTTTTTTTGAGCCCAAAAAAATATAAGACACTGTCTTATTTTCGGGGAAACACGGTAGTAGTTATGCTTTCTAACAGCTTTGTTAAACGGTAAAATTTAATTACAAACCTTATTTGCTGGTTTTTAAATGTATCCATTTAAAATTATTTTCAACCACACACTTAATAAGCACTTAATAAAAAATAACAATTTTTAAATATTAAATCATGTCTCCTATAAATACATTTATTCAACAGCAACTGGACCTACATGAAAACATGAATCCCACCATAAGTTTCAATGACCACAATCACTGTTTGTTTTATGCGTTTTTCACATAGTTGTGGAACTATTTTTCCTCATTCTTGAGCCGTAGAATGAGGAAGTAGTTCAGTTATACTGGAATCCAATTTATATTATACACTGCTCATTCCCGATTTGGGTTTAGGTCAGGACTTTAACTAGACCAGTGATAATTTTTATGAAAACTTGCAGCTGTACTTCAGCTCATGGCTGACCATCCTCTGAGAATTTTGTGATAGTGGGTCATCAAGTTGCATTTGCCAATATTGCTTCTTAAGTTTCAACTTGGTGAAAAATGTAGGCATTCTGATCAATTTAGTTTTTCCCCTTTTCTCTTAATGTCCCCCCAAATAATTAACAGCTGGTATTGATATAACCATTGCTGAGGGTGAGATTAAAAACCTTTTAGATTTTGTTTATTCTGTAAAAAGCAGAAGTTAGACTTTAGAGTGACACAAAACTCAGTAGTTAAATCTTAAAAATGCATTCACTTACCTTATCAACGAAATCGAAGTTATTTGTGTATCATTTCGCTGTAAATCCTCAAATCATCTCTGAATTCATATTAACACTGTGCTTCTTAGGCAGCCTCTTGGAGGGTGCCTAAGACCCTCTTGGAGGGTGTCTAATTTGGTTCCCCATGCTACCTGTGTGTCTTGTAAAGTAGCCACTGCTACAAGCTCACTCCTGTACTACAATCTCATTACAAATAAACTAAACGTGAGATTGTAGTCCATCATCAGAGTGAGCTTGGGGTGGTGGCTACCTTACAACACACACTGGGACCATGGGGAACAAAAGTAGCCACCCTCCAGAAAGACAGACAGTGTCGGCACCAATTCAGAGATGATTTGAGGATCTACAGCCAGCCGGGCGAAACAAAAAAGCTATTTTTCTTTTAATTAAGGTTGGAGTTCCAACAAAATTGAATTTTCAGACCAAAACCGAAAATGATTTTTTTTTTAACTTTTAAAATAAAAATTTCAGATGTTTATTTTTTGCCATAGGCAATTCATCTTTTCAGAGGGTGCAAACAATGGCAACCCCTGTACTTTGATAATAGGACTACTTTAAAGTCAACCTGTGGCCAGGATATAGCCATTCAAGTATTTACAAATTTTGGAGCAGTAAATAAGTTTTAAATCAAGCCCTCTAACCTTTCTAGCTGCTGGCACTGTGGAGCAATTTAAGGCCCACCCCTTAGCTTCTGTTCTGTGTTTTACATTAGCGATTAGAAAACTGCCGAGGCACTGCTTGGCAGGAAGGGAGCGAGGTGAGCTTCTAAGAGTGAAAGTGCTTTTGCTGTAAGTTTTGAGGATGAATTACTCTGCTGTGCCTTCAGCTACAAAGGTCAGCGAGGACTTGTTTAAAAGCTCATTTATTGATCATCAATAATGTGAAATATATTAATGTCATTTGATTTTGTACCTCTTTCTCCATTGATAAACATGTTTTACTGCTACTTTAACACATGGTACTTTAAAAATTAGTAGTTTATTCAAGAAGACCTGAAATACATGCCAAATTCCCAAATAATTTCACAGCACTACTTTTTTTGCAGCCATTCCTAGTTTACTCTAGGATCAACACAAGTATTGGACTTCTGTCTCCTGGTTCTATAGCTGCAAAATGATCTCACTGTAAGGAAGCTTTTAGAGTAATTGGACACAACAGGAAGTTATTTGTTCAGGTGGCACTAAAGGTCTTTCATTTAGAATGCTTACACTGGTGTATTCAATACCACTGACTCGGCAACTTGTTAATGGCCTTCGGTGACAGAAATACTGTTGAATAGAATATGGTAGACAAAAAATAAACTTTTCTGCTACAGATTTACAAGCTTTGGGACAATTAGATCTCTCCTATTCTGGGTGAATCAAAGTATTGCATGTCCTTATGGCGCCTTTTTCATGGGCGGTCAGATCATATCTGCCTGTCACTTTTTTTTAGGTATGGGCAGCCAGATGTAAACGGCTCACTTTTCTTTCCCCCCATTGCAAGATAGAGAAATAAACTGAACAAACACGTAGATGACATCTCTTACGCTCTGTTCTGATCAGGAGTGGATCTGTGCGTGTGAAGGTGCCTATGGCATGTAGCTGTTGAAATCACATTGTGGCACTTTCTGATCTCCTAGTCTTCCAAAGAAAGACTTATGAGATTTGCTTCATTGAGCTCTAGGCTGTGTTCACCAGTGGTTTTTAGGAGATACATGTATGTATTGTAATATGCCATCACTTCATGTCCCTTGTTTACTTCATGGTTTGACTTGGGTTCTCAAAAAAAAGCCAGGCATGTGTACTAATTGCACATTACCTGCTAAAATAAGTGAGCAATGAGCAAGGTAACAGGTAATTATGGATTTGCTTTTGTGCATGCATTGGTCAGTGGGATGCGGGCAATTTTGCTTTAAATTAAAACTAGGCCCACTCCCCACTGCCTGGCAGCATATACATTTATCTCTACTTAGTAAAAGTAATTATACAGCATTTTTACCTCCTGTGTTTGTATGTATG